GAAAACCTTAGTAGTGGCGCCCTTGGGGGGAATCCACTGAAGATCACAGTCTTCATTCTCGATGACGTCGAGAGAGTCCTGATCGGAGTAATAGTACTCCTCGTCGTTGCCCAAGCAATCCTCCATGGATTATTTATATCCCCCAAACAAAAAAAATCGAAACTTTAACAAAAAAATTCAGAAAAAATGATTTTTTTTTTTTTTATTGCAATCGAAACGAACAGGCAGTACGCGCATGCAAGGAATTCACGTAGGGACGAATTGGGGGTTTCTTCCCAAGAGAGAAGATAGATTGAATTTTGGGATTGAATTTGGAAGACGAGGGTTTGGTGAGGGGGATGGAGGAGCTGGACGGCGTCGTTTGAGCTGTTAAGGGAAGTGGAGAGATGGATCTAGTTCAAGTGGTGGATTTTGGGTGCGAGTCTGGAGAGGTTGGGCTGGGAAGAAACTCAACTGGAAAGTCTGAATGCGAGGGAGTTTTAGGGAAAAACAATTTTGGGACGGAGGAGGCCTCTTCGGTTTATGCTTCTCTCTCACTCTCCCTCTGCTCAGAGATTTTATTTTATTTTATTTTACTATCGATATTATTTACACTAGAAAAATAGTTAATTTCACAATGAGCTAATAATAGTGTGGTTTAAATTTTCTTTGACGAGAATCAAACTTAAAACTTCTCATTTACAAGTAAAAAAAAATATCATCAGATCATGATCTACTAAGTAGTCTCATTTCCAAGAGTTTGGTCACAAATAAAAAAAAGTACTTAGAAATGTTAGCAAACAACTAATTTAATGGATTTTGTTTTATTTTTATCCTTTACCATATTTTACGAATAATTTTTTATTTTACACGATGATATTAAGAGTAAAATTGAGCTAAACCCATAAAATATGGGTTAGTAAGAGTTTGATATCAATCGCAAAGAGTCATTTTGTATTGGAATCAGTGAAAAAGATAATGAAAAAAAGTATGCATGATAGTTATTCTGAGAGTGTCCAACAATTTCTTTTAGTGCGCTGTATTAATTTGTTATTCTTATTTCTACTTAGACTAATTAATAAGGTACCATATACATCGAATGATTTTTGAGTGTCCCAACACAGCACAGCAACCAAAAATACTAATCTACTTTATTCAAAAATAGAATAAAAAATAAATTCAGCACCACTCACTACCATCTTACTAGCTTTTAGAATCCGTAAACATCAATACACTATGTTCGTCAGGTAATTTACAAATCACACAAAAAAAGTTGATGATATTTATGGCCTTAAGCTTACAAGGAAAAACGTGTATTATAACCCACCCTCATGAAAATTCCTGGTGCCACCCTTGGTTGAGTTGGCTCTAATTCTTGTTTTTAATCGTCATCGACTGCCCAGCACAATCCCAAGAGTCAAGCGAAAGGACCCTTGCTTGGGCTGCACTCTCTTCAGGGAATACTTCAAAGGGTGATGTGATTCAAGGGTAGATACAACTCCCCAAACTACTATTCAAGGAACCACACCCAAATTACATTGCTGTTTATGTTGAAATATCCCACCATTTTCGTGATAAAATCTCACACCTGACGAATTGTGCACGTGATAATTATCAATTTGGAGACAATATCTGTGTTGTTGGAATTGGACCTCTTGGTCCGTCTCTCTGATAATTATACAATTTAGTTATTCGAATGAAAACACAAGACTTTCGAGTAGTTAATTGCACCGAAAAAAAAATCCAAATCAAGCGTGGACAAGAAAAGGGAACACAAATTTCGTATAAATAACGCACGTTGACAGGTTAAATGTGTTATATAATTAGTTTTAACTTGGCTTTGAGATACAATCAAATGAATGTTACACCAGGAAAATAATGAATACAAGGTACAATAAGTTCATCTAACTATTGAGTTCATCAATGTTGGTTCGGAAAAGATAATCTTCGCCCTCTAACTCATCTTGAAAAAGACAAATAGACGCAGTCTCTAACTTCTCTTCACTCGATCCTTTATCATCCAATGATCTTCTTCCCTGAAACATTAATGTACTGTTAATCACATAATGGTCGATTCTGCGAGGGAAAAGGTTGATATAAGCCTCGACGAGCACACAAAATAGTATCTGGATTCTCGACTGACCTTCTTCAATGTATAGAAGAAGTAATGAAATCCATCACCAAAGGTACTCCACTCCACAGACCAGGTAAATTGTGGAGCATCAAAAAAAGGGCGCCTGAAATGTGGCTGTGGGACAACAATCCAAATAAGAACAGGTTTCTAACTAGGAAAAGTACTATGAACTTACTACATAGGTATATTACCTGTCCAAAAGAAATTGAGATGTAAATGCCATCCGGTTTCAGAACCCTATGTACACCCTCAAGCATCTTCATGACCTTGGTTACTGTTGCAGGCCGTGGATTCCACGGGTCACCACTATCAACGAACAGTACCTCCTTCATAATCAAAAATAGATTAAGCATTATACCCTTCTCGCTTAAGGTTTAGGTGGTGGAAAAAATCACAATTATATTGGTCACGGTAATCACTGATAACTTGAAATTGGACAAAACTTGAGGAAAACCATCTTAAATAGTAAATTTACCATGGTTCCTTTCTCAATAACAACGTCAAAACACTCATTGCTAAAAGGCAGGTCTAGCATGTCAGCTTCCAGAACTTTTATTTCTGAAAACAAAGAATATTGGAAAATATAAATAAGATTTTCTCTCTAATGCAAATCGACTGTGTTCCGAGAATCAGTTCAATTGAAGGAATTTAATAATGAGCTCCAAGGAAACAAGAAAAACTGTAACGGAGAGACAAAACAGTCCATTGTTCATTATGCTTGAGGATGAGAAAAACTTTTAATTAGGAACAGGAGCACCGAAAATCATTGAGGAGATAGCATACCAATGTCCTCCCAAAAGACAAGATTCAATCCAGATTACGCAGTTTAAAGTAGCAGCGAACAATTTTGATTCTGCTGTCCCCATAAAGAGTTTGTAAGTAATGAATACTAATTGTTCCAAGGCCTGACTACTATTCACATTCACCGTTTAGCCATTACATATTGTCAGAAAGTTATTTCTAAGGTCGGACACACATTGTAGCATATCTCTTATCAGAAAATAAATAAACAGATGTCCTGAGGTATACAAATACATGCACAGTATATATATCAGGTATAATATATTCACAAATTTTACAATACCAGTTTTTACGTTTGATGCTGCTTGTATAGATTGATTGATTATTGATAATCAAATTCTAATCATTAACTATAAACAACTTGGACCAAAAACTCCTCTTTCTGTAAATTTAGACAATCATCAAAAACCTTGAACTCAAATCACTTTAGCACAATTGAAACATGGGGAAAAGTAATAGGGTCTTAGGATCAGTATACAAGCAGATAATTCTAGTGTGTATAGTTTGTAGAATATCAAAGTTCAAACAGCACACCTTTAAAACCTTTAGACTGTAACTTCTTCTGCATGTTCTCTACGGCAACAGCAGAGAGATCAATGCATGTTATTTCCGTAACCCCATCTTTATACAACTCTTCGGACAATTGTGAGTTTCCACAACCCAGCTCCAACACCTGCACTATAGTCATTGCTCATCACCACTGCTTTATCCAACCCTTCTAAATGTAACCAATAAACATGATGCATATTCTTATTTAAGTATAAAAATAAAGTCGATGCAAATGAATCAACAATTTTTGTTCATTAGAAAAATTTGAATAACAGGAGCTCAGGACAATCGAGGCAAATGAAATAGGCGATATTCTGCAAGAAATAACAGCCTTTACAATTCCCACATAAAGTGTTAAACTATCCATCTATATCGTAACTTTAACTCAACCCGATTCGAATAACCAATCAATCAATTCAACCCATTCTCTCTATGCATCTTCCTAGCATAATATACTCCAGACCCAGAAATAATTGCCGGTTACTAAGCTAGAAAAGATACATTTCCAATAAATACACACATATATAAGATATATAAATATATATATATATATATAGAGAGAGAGAGAGAGAGAGAGAGAGAGAGAGAGAGAGAGAGAGTGAAGTTACAGAGGAATTGGGAGTGATATGTGATTGGATGAGGTGGCGAAAGTGAGAGTAGTCCTTGAGCCACTCGTAGTGCTCCTCAGAGGAGAATCGTTCGTCCCTGAAACAAACAACATCAATAGAACTATGAATTTGATTGAGAAAAAGAAAGGGAAAGGGGAAGATTAAAAATTACCAGTATTTGGGATCGAGGTAGGCGAGAGCAGTAGATGGTCCAACGCCATTTCTCTGGGTTCCGGTCGGGTATTGCTTTGTACCCATTTCACTGTTTCGGGTTTTACTTCTCCTCCCACTCAGACTCTGGCCGGTTGAAGCTTCACCGCCGGCCATAAACCCTGAAAAACCCCTCCAGTCTGCCTTGTTTTGTTTTGGTGGTTGGTGTGGGGGTGTTTTGGAGGAGTGGATGTTTCCGCTTTTGGGCTGAGCTGCTAAATTTGCTTTTTGGGCTCATAGGAAGCAGATTTGAGCCCTTTTCTTCTTTTAACCCCTTTCACATGTAACATTCTAATATCCTAACGATATTCAACATTTCATGAAAGTAACAAACTTGCAATTTGATTATTTAAACGTTAAATTTTCTTCAAAGTAACAAATTTGCAATCTAATATCCTAGAACATGTCTCGTATAAAAAAAAAAAAAGAAAAGGAAAATAGTTGGTTTGATTCTGTCATGCGCTTCCATATAAGCGAAAACGAACCAAACTAGACTTTGGTCTGCATGATTTGATTCGATATAAAATTACGCTTGTGTCATGTCAAAACCCATATCAAACCAAAACGGTCGGATTGGTTTGGTTCGGTTGGCTCTGGGCCCTCCATATAGACCCACTCTTTGTCACACTCAGCAAACTTTTGAAAACTTCAAAAACATAGGACTCATTTGTTAAAAGCAGATTAGGTTGTTTGGGTTTTTGCATATTGAGTACATAATCTGAAAGAAGAAAAGAAACATTTAAGAGATAAAACTGTAACATATACAGTGTTGGTATTAGAATATCCATGAATAATACTCCCGCAATTTCAGTTGCTTCCTCTTCATGAACATTAAAACAAACTTGCCAACACCCTGATGCAAAGTCCACATTTGTTCCAATGCTGCTGTTATGTGGGGGGCTTAGTTGCATGAATATGTGAACCTGCAGACAGTTTAGTCTCATATGACCGAGAAATACTCGCTTTCGTTCATTCAGAAGACAGAAAGTATGAAGAGTTTTGGGATCACTACCCGTAAACATTGATGGCAGTTATACTTTCTAGGATTTTAGGGATGGTACTGGTATTGGTGATGTTGGAGGCTTTAGCTCCTCATACCTGTTCATTATAAGCCTCAAAGGTTCAGTAAAGTTGTCCTAAACGAAAATCTGTCATATAAGCTAGGAGTATGTTCTAGTTTTAGTTTGTACTCCCCGCTGAGGCACTAAAGCATGACTAAGGACTCGTTTGAAAGTGCTTTTACAGTAACTGCAAGCGCTTTTAGAAAACATGTTTCTAGGTTCCAAAAGCACTTAAAGTGCTTCCTGCAAGAAACACCAATTATGCGCTTCTTGTAAGAAGCACTTCAAGTTCTTTTCCAAGGATTCGCATTTATACTGAAGATTGGTTCTAAAAACTTTTTACAAAAAACTCTTTCAGCCATTTTAAAAGCAATTCCAAACGAGCCCTTAAATACGTTTCTTCCTTGTGTACTTAATATAGTAAAAACGATCTTATGAAATCCCGTTGACCTACAAAAGTGCAACCATGAAGAAGCTTACATATAAAAAGGTGACTGCGGTCTTGGCTTTCGTTTGGTATGTTGCTCTTCCTCACTTTGTTTATTTTCAGCTGGAAGTTGCCCTGTGCTGTTTGAGGTATCGATTGGGGATCCATTGTTTGCAGCTGGGGCAGAGAAGACTGATACGATCGGAGGAGTAGGAGATGGTGATGAAGGGGGCTTGAAGTCGTCGTATCTGAAAACATAGCACGCCAACAATAAGTTCCTTTTTCTTCTTTGGATATATAAAACACCAACAATAAGTTCAATCCCTATTTCTCAGAACAATATAACTCACAGGAAAGGCTAATATTCGACAAAAAATAGCTGGATTTAACATAATATTTGAAATCAATAATTCATTGAGGCGAATCTTATATAATATGAAGGCAAAACATCCGTTCAATCAACAGAATCTTGTAGTTACTTCCTACAAGATCATTGCATTAGTGATTGTGCACTTACCAAATTTAAGAGTACAATGATCAAAGTAGCAAGAAGCAAAAAACACTTATTTTGAATACAAAAATAAAAATATGAGAAAATCCTTACACGTGGTAGGGTGAATGATAATGAGGTGAATCGCAGGGAGTAACCTCTTCAGCAACACTGCTTGTCTCAGCTTCCGGAACATCATTACCTCCACTTGATTGTGTGACAACTTCTACCGGAATTGAGGCATCCAAAGACGTTTTCTTGGGAGCACTTGGCGTTGGGCTCGGAGAGCTAGGTGGCTTCAAATCCTCATACCTATAAAAAATCATATCATCATACAGAAATTGTACCATATCTATGATGTGACAGGAAAGCATTGGAAGTAGCTTACGCAATGTAAGGCGAAAGGGGGCTTGTTATTAGCAATTCTTGTGAGACTGATTTTATCTCATTCGCGGAAGTTGTTATCCCTTCTGTGCTGGTTGGTGCCTCTGAAATGGTTGTTGACACAGCATCAACAACTTCCACATCTTTTTGGGTACTAGGTGGAGTGGGACAAGGTGACGACGGTGGTTTGAAATCATCATATCTGCAAAATAAAACAAAAAGAAAGCAATGTTACGTTTCATAATAACAGAGATAAGAAATGGTTAAAGATATTGGATTGACTTGAAATTTAACATATATAGGGACCACAACAGACTCTGGAAAGATGTGGAAAGATCTATAGTTTTGTACCAGTGCAGTGTTGTTCTTGTCATAAGAAAGTTAGATTATTAGATTTTCAGTGCCTATAATATGAGCTTACGAAGCATAAGGTGAGGTTTTCAGTGTCTATATTATGAGCTTACGAAGCATAAGGCGAGGAAGCCCTTGTAACTTTCTTTTCTGTCTGAATGCTTTCTTTCTCTATGATAGGTTTTGAAGCTTCCTGAGGAGGGGTAGCTACTGATTCTGCAGGTGTGGTATCTGTATCACTCACTTTGGTGGCAAGATCCGTGGTGCTTGGCAACGTAGTAGGAGATGTTGGTGGTTTGGCACTCTTAGAAAGCTCTGGATCAGCTGTGGGTGCCGCAGATGATTCCTGATGACACCATAGAGAGCGTCAATTTTGCTCTGACAGTTAAAAGGTAAAGTACTTCTACTTGTTTGAATAAAAGAACAGAGATATTCATGTTCAGGAGTAACGATATCTGTTATGAGGAAAGGTGAAAGAATGAAAGCTAGATAATACACGAAGCAATAAGGGAACTCTCCAAGGTTCACTTGGCAGCTGAAGGCTCACATATAAAACTTGAATGTATTTCTGCCCTTTTAGGAAAAAAAGGGGCTAAAGATTTCCTTAGTTACTTACTAAATGTTAGCAAAAGGAAGAACAAACAAACCTTTGGTGTGTAAGTGTAAGCACGTTGAGATGGTATCTTTGTGAGGAGTTCCTCCAAGGGAGTCAACGGAGCTGTTGTTTCTGCAATTACTTCCACTACTTTGAAGTAAGAAAGGCTGGGATTTTTGGCCGCAGAGGCCAGTAACTCTGCCACCTGAATTGATAAACAGAAGTATACTTTTACAGTTGATCGATAAATTCCAAGTTTCTCTAACCAAATTCAGATATATGTTAAGTTATGGACAGCATGAGTAGAAATTTTTATTTCGAAAACAAAAGCACCAGGATCAGGACAATATTTGATTTATCTTTAGTCTACTGATGTGACAGTTAAAACAGCAAAAACATTTTAGTTTTAACAGTACATAAAACGCAATCCAAGATGCCTGTCTCTATCCAAGAACATACATTAATACAATCAAAGGTAGGACAGAAGTGAAATACAGATGTTCAATTTTAAACTTTCTAATGACCTCACTAATTATATGGGTTTAGCCAAGTTGGGTAGGGTAGTATGCTTTACCCTTTGCACTTAAGTTCAAGCCCCCTTCCCGTAGTTTAGATGAATTTAGTGTAATTAGCCTATCATTTGTACGGAAAATGATTTAACTAAGTGAAGTCTTTTCATCCGCAGTAGAAAACATATATATGGCACAAAATTACAATCGATACACTTTTCAAACTATCTAGTGAAAAACTGTTGCATTTGACTCAGTCAAGGGAGACCAAATTATTATCTTGTTCAGAAAGAAAAAAAAAGAAAACGCAGGTGTTTGAGCCTCAGAATTAGGCTTTGTATTTTGTTTTGAATAAGCTGACTATATGGCCGATGTTACTACTTTTGGTTTCTAATTATTTTTCATCAGTTAGTGCTGAAAACAGAAACAGCACAGCATGGTGCACAATTAAGTAATCTTTACAGAAGGAATACCTGGAGGTTTGAAACTTGACCACCAAATAAAGTATCTTCCGTTGAGAGGGTAGTATTATGAGTTTCCTTGTAAGCATCAGTGGGCCGCTCCATTCCACCCGGTCTCACTATCTGAAGAAGACCGCAGATAAGAACTCAACGATCCAGCAACTTACAACCTATCTATTTCATTAATTTTTCTGCAGCAAATGTTGTGAATACTCACAGTGTAGGGAAGTCCACTGGATATCAGTGCTTCTTCTGCCTTTCTTTTCCAAATCAGGACTCCCCAAAATAAGCTTTATAAAAGAAGAGAAATTCAGTGTGTTCACCGAAATAAGAAACAAAGGGAGGCTGTTTCTCTAGACTTTTGAGTACATAGACAAGCAACAAATGATAATATATCAAATTTCTACCATGAGCCTGTAGACTTACTTTAAAATAGCTGCAGGAAATCCAATCTTGTTTGTTCCCAGAGACGTAAGCAATATGAAGTGGTTAACCTTTGCAGCAGTTGCTGCATCATTGATAGATACTCAAGATTTTCACATTTTTTATCTTAAAAGTTCAAAAAATATAACTGGATAGACAGTCAAGATTAGAAAATATTCTGAATACAAAGATCAGTTGGCACCATTTCTTTGCACTCCTCCCATCTATAACCGTTTGTACTTGTAAAAGATCACATAAACAGCTAAGCAGTAAAAGAACATCGTGTTCTCGCAAGTCGAGACTGGATGAATACTTTCCTAGAATAACTGTAAGTTATACCACACATGCTTCAGAAGCATGAGCTTTTTTTAGGGTAACATGCTTCAGAAGCTTTGCTAATCCAAAAAAAAAAAATGAAAACTTTCTCGATCCTAGGTGTTTGAAGAGTTCTACTTATGGGAATGGAAACTAAAAATATTCACAAATCTATTAAAATAAAATAAAAAAGAGAAGGCTCTAGTGGGTGTGTGTGTGTGGAGGGTACTGCAATAAGCCATAATGTTTTCATTGTAACTTCTTTTAGGTCTGCAACAAAAGCAAGATAAATAAGACTAAAACTCGATGTAGTTACATCACACAAAGATATAAGTAACATTGTACCTGCCACCAGTCAAAACCCTTTCTTACCTGCCTCAATAAGATTTTTGGTAGCTAGATAGTCAATTCGATATGGTCCAGTAACATCAAAAACCTCCTTCTCACTGGCACCAATGCAGCACAAGACCACTGATGCATTGCCCAATGCTGGTCTAATCTGATCTGGTTTCTCCAAGTCACACTCCACAATTTCAAGCTTTTCTACAGCTGGGCTAAAAATCAAAAGCTACCTGTTATTTGCTATAAGCAAATATTGTTAAGGTAATATCTCTTTATCAAAACCTTATCTCGCTCCTCTTTTTCACTTTGTCCTTTTTTTTTCACTGAAAATTTTATAGAAATCAAATGCAATAAGAAATTGATAGTTCTAAAGTCTTTAATCTTACGCTGAATCCCTTCGTCGAGCTTTATTTGTTTAACACTCTGCAGATGAATTGATTTATCAGTATAAATGTGATTAAGGAAAGTGGTGCATAAGTTATAATATCACCAATCAAATTCATACTTGCACAAGAGTTTGCGCTCTCTGAGCACTCCTGACACCAGCTCTGACTTGGAACCCAAGTTTCAAAAGCTCCCTGAATCGCACTAAGAAAGCTTAGAAATTTAATAAAACAGGTCTCAGGTTGGAAAAGAAAATCACCTAAAGGCAGAGTCAGCAGCAAATGATAACCTTACTGTTCGTGAACCAACTTTCCCAGTAGCACCGGCAACAAATGCAAGATTCTCATTCTTAATATTTCCTTTTTCTGGAACTGGCTCAACTATCTCTGAGCTGAACTTTGTGGTGCCTTGTAAAAACAGTAAAAATCAGTTACAGATAGGTTAGGAAGGAGTTACAGTGATTACCAATTTACCATTTCAGCACATACCTAAACAGAGGAAAAGCCCCTTAACTTTCTTTAACATATAGGTAAGATAAGATTGTGACATGAAGTAGGTTGAATACGTTCTAAGGCACTTCCTTATGCTCTATTATTTCCTCACCATTCTGTAGCCAGCTTATGCAAGCCAGTAGCATATATACTCTTACAAGCACTGATTCATAATTCACATCTCCAAGAGTATATCGAATTTAAGTATGCCTCACATCCTAAATGGGAAGCTAGTGCAACAAAGTGCTAGACTATGATGGTGAATTCGAAGCTAATGGAGAAACTGTTGACATTGGTGACACAAGCCTCAAAATCTTACTATAAGTGTAGGGTTTCTAGACTATATTGAAATTTCATCTCTCTAAATGCAAATGACACCTACTTTTGTTTGATAACTTGCAAGTGCTCCACATCAGTCCCTTCCTACCATTAATAAAAACAAAATTTCCTTTCTCTACACATACATTTAATCGTTTTTAATCACTTCTACCGAAACACTCCCAAACAATCCCTTAATGTAGCTCATTTTCTCGGTCTAGTTTGCTCTCTCGCAAAATATCTGCAGAACTAGCAGTAGCAGGAGGATTAGGGAACATGATGCAGGTGGTGAAGTAGGTAAAATTTTAGTACATTTTGAATGTTGGATTGGATCATATCATCACTACATTTTTATAAATACATAGAAAAACACAAATAAACAATAGTAAAATCATGATAAGATCAAAAATTCCAGAAGAACGAAAAAAAAGGGGCATCATATCATTAATCAAAATTAAAAGCATAACAAACCCATTTCAACGAAACAGTAAAAGAAATATTACATACCTGAAGCTTGAGCTTTGACATGAAGAAATCCAAGCTTCCTAGCATTTGGGTACCTCTTGGAATTGGAAAATTTGAGGGTCTGGCCAAGCAGAAGGGGTTTTTCTGCAAACCTACTTTGGGATAAAGAGGAGGGAATCGTGGTCACATTTGGTGAGTGCAGAGAGCAAGCCTCCATCGCAGTGGAGTTTCAAGCGTTCAGAAGCTCACCAAAAGCTCAGAGCTTTAAACAATTGGAGGCAAATGAAAGGTTTTATTATCTCTTGAAACTTTTGAGTTTGGCAGATGTGGCACCCTCCACAGTCCATGGATATGATGGACCCCGCGCCAAATTTCCTCTGTCACAGATTAAAGAAATTTTTCTAGGTATCGAAACACAGCACGATACATTAAGTGTGTGTTTTTTATACATTAAATGTCATAACACAAGTGGTTAAATTGTTTTTAAATATAACCTCTTGTATTATAAAATTAATATACCAGACCGTATTTCCAGCATACTAAAAAATCTCTCCACATATTGTGGCTTGGTAGCTGCCAATTGGCTACATCTGCTTCCATTTTTACTTCTAATAGGACTTTCGGGGAGTCGTACGTGACCATAGATTTAGGTCCAAGAGCATCTCCAATTCAAAATGAGGTAACAATTTGGCAGCAAAGTTAAATTTACTGTGTCACAAAACAAAAAAAAAAAAAAAAAAACGTATTTGAAGATGTAACTAAGTTAGCAAATTAAAGAATTAATAACTGTAGAGGACGGCAAAAAGATACACCCATCCCTAGGTTAATTCAATATCATGTGTATGTTATCCATGAGGTAGTTACACTTAGACATGCTCCTTGAGGGAATTATTTTTTTTTGTGTCAAACATAATAAAATTCATTAATACACATAACTATTACAAGGTAAGGAAAACTTAAAAGATAGGCAGCTCAATACAAACAAGTAAAAGCAAAGTTCAAATTATTTTCTTTTTTTTAGTTTTTTTCTTCATGGGGTACAATTCAATTTCTCTATACATATATTTCTTCGAGTGCAATTTTCTTTTATTGGTTAAATTTCATCATACATATTCTATGGGTACAATGTTTTTGGGTTGTTTTAGTATATGTTCCGCATAATATAGGTACATTGTATTTGGCTGTTGCATTTTATGTACCCATATTGTGACATCCCACATCGCCCAGGGAAGTGATCCTTAAATATATATATTCTCATCCCTACCTAGCACGAGACCTTTTGGGAGCTCACTGGCTTCGGGTTCCGTAGGAACTCCGAAGTTAAGCGAGAAGAGGGCTAGAGCAATCCCATGATAGAAGAGGGCTAGAGCAATCCCATGATGGGTGACCCACTGGGAAGTTGCTTGTGAGTTCCCAAAAACAAAACCGTGAGGGAATGGTAAGCCCAAAGCGGACAATATCATGCTACGGTGGTGGAGCGGGCCCGGGAAGTGATCCGCCCTAGGCTGGGATGTGATAATTTGGTATCAGAGCCTTACCCTGGTCGCATGTGTGCCAACGAGGACGTCGGGCCCCTAAGGGGGGTGGATTGTGACATCCCACATCGCCCAGGAGAGTGATCCTTAAATGTATATTCTCATCCCTACCTAGCACGAGGTCTTTTGGGAGCTCACTGGCTTCGAATTCCGTAGGAACTCCGAAGTTAAGCGAGAAGAGGGCTCGAGCAATCCCATGATGGGTGACCCACTAGGAAGTTGCTCGTGAGTTCCCAAAAACAAAACCGTGAGGGAATGATAAGCCCAAAGCGAACAATATCGTGCTACGGTGGTGGAGCGGGCCCGGGAAGTGGTCCCACCCGGGTTGGGATGTGACACATATCCCTACATATCATTATATGTATATTGTTTTTCGTTGTAAAATGCATCCATTTGTCAATAGATCACCTTTGGTACATTTTTATCCATCTTGTATGAGGATTATAGGTAGCTTATGCATACTTTCATGGGGCCCATATTTATTGGAATGTATATGGGTACATTCTTTTTCGTTGATTTGAGAATATATCCATGTGGAGTTTTTTTTTTAGGTTCATTCAACTTTTTTTTAAGAATGTATCCATATTTTTTGGTTTGAAGAATCTATCAATGTTTTGTGCTACATTATTTTTTTTGGGTGATTTGATGAATGTACCCATAGTTATATACTAACCTTCAAGCACGCGCTCACGTGCGTGCAGAAAGCATTTTTTAAATCACAGCGTGCTACTTGTAACTTACACGTTTTAAATATATTTATATGCGTAAATTGACAAAAGGAAAGTCAAATATTTAAAGTAAATGAATAATTTTAGATCATACTAGAAGAAACCCCTTATAAACCAATTAAAGCAGCTGAATTCACCTAATAAAATCGGTCTCTATAGAATTTACATTAAGAATAGAGAAAATAATATCTAATAAATAATTGATTGAATCATATTATTGCTAGCCTATTATAAGGCTAAGCCCACCTCATTCCCTCTTAGTGTAGATAATATCGTTTATTTAAAAAAAAAAAAATCATTTGACAACTTATTTAATCACATTGTTATCCACATGTGAAAAACATTTTCTATAATCAGCATGACACGCCTCTTAAGATGTTTTGAATGTGTTTAAAAATAGAGAAATTAAATCATATTATTGTTAGCATTTTATGAGATACTAATAAAAATAAAGAAGCACCAAAAAAGTAAATTATTAAAAAAATACTATTAAAATGACAAAAATGCCCTTACCTTATTTGATGCATTCTTTTGGGATGCCTTTGAAGTTTTTCATTTTAAGGGCATTTTTGTCCAAAACCTTTTTGTTGAAGCATGATGACACCAAAACACTATTCACCTTTTCCATTCTCTTTATATATAATAGATGTATCAATTATCTTTCTTATATGTACATAATTTGTTAATGGCAGACCATGATCCTGTAGTGACTTCTAAGTTCTAAGTTGTGGACCGGCCTTCTGCCTAGGCTAGTGGTTAATTGGGCTAGCATGATTTCTGAGGTTCTAGGTTGTGACTTGTGAGGCTGGTATTGAAGATGGCGAAGATTCTAATCATGATGATTTTTAAGTTTCTAATCTATCTTTAATATTTCAAATCCCACAAATTATGTGTTTTATTTAATATTTCATAAATATAGGTAATTGCAAATTATGATTTTTAAATTAAAAAAATAAAATAGGTGATATGGAAATACATTTAATACTAGTATGGTGAGGCGTACAAAAGTCAGGGACATTGATAAAAAACTGAAAATTAATAAGGTTTCAATCCAAGAAGATTGGTGGCTAAGAACTGCATCCAAAATATCCCAAATAAAAACTATACTTGTATTTAGAATTTGGGAAGGTTAAAACTTAAAACTTAAGCCATTATGACATTGTCGTCATCACAAACTAATGCAACAAAAATAAGAAAACCCCAAAACCAAAAACCAAATTTGAAAATTCACTAATTCATAATATGGGTTCTTTTTTACTAGGTACCCAGAATACCCCTTAACTTAATTAAAAAAAAGAAAAATTAAAAACAATGGAACTGCCTAGCCACCGCCCATCCTTCCTAGCCCGCCTATTCATCTAGCTCGTGTAACCCGTCTAGCATCTACCTGATTTTTCTCTATGTTTTGGCCTAAATCACATTGGTTCTCCACCGCCTAGGCCAATTTTTAGAACATTGAGTAAAAGCACAACCTAACTTAAGAGAAAATACAATGACATGCCCAAATAAGAGAGAAGGAAGAAAGCCCTAGGAATTGAACTGTTACTTTTCTATTACATTACGGAGAACTACATTCTTGTCATGGTCAATCAACAACCTATTATAATGTTTGGAAACTTGGCCTTCTTGGCTTACTAACGCAGTCATTTCCTATTTTCGAATCGAAAATGCAGGCATGGAGGCGCAACTCTTTCCCGGATCAATGATTTAGCCGACTCTCGTTCTTTGGACCAACTTATGATCTACACAAAAATGGGTTCGTCACTCTTTTTTTCACATACACCGGGAAGGACCGCTTGATTCATTATACAACAATGCAACATCGGACGCTGGAAACATCTTTCACCTTTCTCACCAGGTCTTGGCTTTAGGAGGTTCTTTGGATTGTTCTTGGTAAGACCCCCTTCAATTGGTCAGATCTAGTATGGATCATACATGAATGATAGTTGGAGTCGATGACAGTGTAAAGGTGTTCGTAGATTAAAGCTCAGAAAATGATCGTCCGGAAAGTCTCTTTCAGTCCACAACAAATTCTAAACTAAATACCCTATATCTAAAATAAGAAAAATCACTCCTCCAAGCATGTCGCTGCTCCAATATTCTTACCAGATAATGCCTTTAAAAGCCACAGAACACCGAAGCACTCTGCTGAAAGAGATTCTTGGATGAGCCATTCGATGAGTCAAGTAGCCAAGGTTGATGATCGAGGGTTTGTGAAGAGGAATAACAATTGTGGAGAAATATTGCATACTAAACTGAGAAAACTAAGAGCAAATTGAGATAAGAGCTCAAAATAAACTGAGCCACAAAAGCTCAAAGCACATCACCACAAGATAAAGTAGGTTATCAAAATCAAGGAAGATAAAGAAAACAAGAAAAACAGAAGATAGGGACTGCCACTGACCCCACCAAAGGAAGGGGTCATCGAAATAGAGATAGAAAGGTTTTCTTTTCCTAGCTAGAAATAAGGAAGGGGGCGAGCGTTATATCACAAATCTATTGGGTCATTTAAAATGACTCAATTAAAGAGCACAAAAAAAAAAATGAAAAGAAAGCCTAGATGCTAGTTTAGTATGATAATTTGTTGTATATTTATAAAGTCGGTTGCAATTTCTTCAAGTTAGCAAATTGAGTACCGCAAATATATTTTATTAAAAATATTGTTTAGTAAATAGGTTGAAAATAAAATTTATAACCCACTAGATAAAAAAAAAGAAGAAGAAGTTAAGATATAAATATTTTAAAGTGAAAGATAAAATTTGAGAGTTGGTTGAAGTGACAAAATTTTAAAGTAGCATAAAAGTGACAAATGGGTTAGCAAATGACACTTTTAAAGGTAAGTTTTGCTAACTACTTAGGAGATGCTCTAATACGTTTGAATTCTACAAATTATGGGCCACAACTATTAAACCCATGTCACCACAACTATAATCTAAACTACCTATTAACAAAATCATCTTTGTCAACCAAAAAATTGTGAAAAACACCAAATTAACCACTTCAACAAAACTAAGAAAA